TCAGGCTTGTTTGGATATGGGCCTAGCCCTACTCTTTTGAAACCACCCTCTAGTTATGCCCTCAACATCATCTTCGGCCTCACCAGTAGAAGTCGTATCAACAGTTGAAGAGGAGCAGCACTCTTCCTTTCCAAGCCATGGACGACCTTCAGGTTCTGAGGACGTCTCTGACCCTACGGCCAAGAGGACATTTACCCTCAGACTGCCAACGGCGGGCAAAGCCTCTCCTTTGGCCCTCGTGTTGTTTGCTATGCTGGGTATATCAGCATGGATTGAGACTAACGCCTTATTCTCAGAGTTGTGGGCTGTGGCTCCTGTATTACCGGAGTCTTGGAATTTAGCATCGTATTTGGTGGTAATAATCCAATTGGGTAACGTAGCCCCTCTGGTCTACTCCTACCTCCCTAAACCACCATTATGGGTAGCAATGCTCATGGTACTCCTATCCAGTGGATTCTCAATGTTCTTGGCTTGCGGTATTTGGGATATCACAGCCGAAGTCTTTGGAGCTCAGCATTCCGTTGGTCTACTCGTATCGGCATTCGTAGCGTCTATGAGTGATTGCCTTTCTAATTTAGTATTCTGGCCCTACGCCGGGTCCTTCAGTTCCCACCCAGGTTACGTTGCTGCCCTCGCCACTGGTGAGAGCCTCTCCAGTGCTGCTAGTGCTGCTGTTGTCGCCATACAGAGCGCCTGTGGCTTTGGTCCAACCGTGTATTTCGCCATTATTGGTAGTATTGTTATGTGCTGTATCGCCTCCTTCTTCCTCCTCCATTTCGGTTACAGTGGCAAGGCCTTGCACGATTTCGTTCGTGAGGGTCCGACTTCTGGTAGCCCTACGGCCTCTGTAGCGTCCCACAAGGAGCACGGCCTATTCTCACGAAAGAGCAAGCGGTTCCTCACTTCCTACATCCTCATCGCGTGGCTCTCCTTCGTACAGAATGCTTTGACCCCCACGTTTCTCCCCTTTGCTGGTAGGGCCTACCCTGCTGGTTATCGTCTGGCTCAGAATGTCCTCTTCGCGTTCGCCCCTGTAGCCTCTATGGGAGCTGCTTGGCTCCTAGGTGCGCACTATCGTAAGAATTGCCTCGTTACAAGTGCTGAAGTAGGAGCAGTATTTATGTGGAATATAGAAGTGTAGGGTCTGGTTTAAGGTTGGAATATATGTCTGTTCCCTTCAGCTGAGTCTCGGAGTTTCCTCACCAGTCAAAGGAGTTTATATGTGAACTAGGGTAGAAATATACGGTAACCAAGCGAAATTTCCCAAAAAAATTCCTCAGAATTTTCGTATCGTCACCGCATATGGGGTTGACCATGTGCATATTTTCCTCACACACTGGGGACCTCATTGATGACGTTGTTTACCAATATGGTATGCAGTAATGGTAGGTTCATAACCCTATACTTATCCTACGCTCCTCCAGAGGATCTGCCTCTAGCTGGGAAGTCTTCTGGTACGGCATTTTTCACTGTCATCACTGTTCTCGGTGGAGGCACCATTGCCTTCACAAAAGCCGCCATAATGCTCCGCCTCAAGCCATACAATGAAGAAGGCGTTCTGAAACATGCGGGTATATGCATGCAGATAGGTTCTTTAGTAGGAGCTGTTGTTTGTGCTCTCACGGCCAACTTGTGTAAGCCGCCAGACTACTCTTTACCAGGCTAGGCTGCGCTTGCTTTCCAAATATGCTTTTTATTCCCTTTATGTATATTAGTTCAGGTTTGTGTGGTAATGATAGTATTAATATAAAGTTATTTCGTTAGAACGATGTTCCTACTGTCTAGAGCCGTATTGTCCTATTATGGCAGATCTTAATCACCATAACACACTAACGGCGGCTTTCGATACTATGGGGGCTATTGCGTTATCATCTACTACTGGGATGTGATACACTGTCTTCAGATTGTATGCTTTCGGCCCTTACTGAGCCCCTTGTGCCTTCAGCAATCTCCATGAGTCTACTATCTACACCTTCCCATCATCGTCGCCGCAGGAACTCCAGCGCGAACACTGTGGTGGTTGAGGGACCGACATCCACACCAGTTACGGAGGTCGAACTAGTTGTTGCTGCTGAGCCAGAAGAGCCTAAGAAGAAGACATTGGCTGAGGAGGCTGCCGAGCCTACTGCGAAGAATACATTCCGATTGCGTATGGTGGAGAAGGGACAGGCCTCTCCAATGGCACTTTTGTTATTCGTACTTATCGGTATATCAGCATGGATTGAGACTAACGCCTTATTCTCAGAGTTGTGGGCTGTGGCTCCTGTATTACCGGAGTCTTGGAATTTAGCATCGTATTTGGTGGTAATAATCCAATTGGGTAACGTAGCCCCTCTGGTCTACTCCTACCTCCCTAAACCACCATTATGGGTAGCAATGCTCATGGTACTCCTATCCAGTGGATTCTCAATGTTCTTGGCTTGCGGTATTTGGGATATCACAGCCGAAGTCTTCGGAGCTCAGCATTCCGTTGGTCTACTCGTATCGGCATTCGTAGCGTCCATGAGTGACTGCCTTTCTAATTTAGTATTCTGGCCGTATGCTGGTGGGTTCGATTCCCATCCCTCCTACCTGGCGGCCCTGGCCACCGGTGAGAGCCTCTCCACCGCAGCTAGTGCAGCCGTTGTAGCGGTCCAGAAGGCCATTGGCTTTGGTCCACGCGTTTACTTTGCCGTTATCGGATGTATCGTCCTCTTCTGCACAGGAGCCTTCCTCCTCCTCCATTTTTACTATAAGAAAGCGGCTGAGAGTGCCGAGACTCTTGACTACGATGATACCAGTGTGACCAGTAGCCCTTCCATCAGCAGTTCAGCCAATGAGGAACGCAGTCTTTTTACTAGGGAGAGCAAACGGTTCATCTGGCCCTTCCTGCTCATTGGTTGGCTATCCTTCGTCCAGAATGCTCTTACTCCAACATTCCTTCCCTTCGCTGGTCAAGCCTACCCCTCAGGTTACCTCCTAGCTCAGAATGTCCTCTTTGCCTGTAGACCTGTTGCCTCCATGGGCGCTGCCTGGGCCTTAGGAATGCACTATCGGAGCAACTGGATAGTGAAAACTGCTGAAGTGACGTCAGTGATCCTGTGGAATCTAGGAGTGTAGGTCTTGCCTCACCTGGCTGCTGCTACCCTCGTTGATATTGTTCCATTCAGGTTCATAACGTTGTACCTTTCCTATGCTCCGGTTGAGGATCTTCCTCTGGTCGGTCAGTCTTCTGGTACTGCCTTTTTCACTGTAGTCACCGTAGTGGGCGGGGCGACCATCGCCTTCACCAAATCAGCGACTATGCTACGCCTGAAGCCCTACAACAAGGAGGGTGTTCTCAAGCATGCGGGCATCTGTATGCAGTTCGGCTCTATGGTCGGCGCAGTTACCTGTGCATTGATCGCCAACCTAGTGAAGCCACCTACTCACTGATCCCTCTCTCGAATCCCCGTATAGTTTGCTACATTTACTCGAGTTACTAGCTAAGAGAGTGTTCGATTATTGTTAATCTGAGAGTGTACACGCTAGGAAAACCATGAACTCCACAGTGCATCTTACCACTATCTCTCATGGACACATATCCAGAGCAATCAGGCCTACGACGATGTTAATTGCCACGCTGAATGCCAGGCGGGATCCTTCTCACCGCATTATTTGGAAGGCTTGGAGGCGTCATCCTCATTTTTTCGTTCCCTTCTGGGCTTGCATTATCCTGCGGAGAGTACATGTCGTCAGCGTATTTTCATCTTTCAAAGTTACACGAAGTTGCAATGAGCAGCAATGCCCAGCGTTTGCCGCCAGATGCGATTATTCAGAAACGTGTAAAAACGGACGAGGGATATGCCGCGTTGGAAAGATACACGAATGGGATGAGTGAGGCATGTCCTTTGTGGCGGATTGATCAACAATGACCACCTCAGGAAAGGCAGCGATGACTGCATCATGGTTCGAAGGTAAGAGTAAGAACGACTTCGCAGAGAACGAAAAACGGAATAATGATTTGTAAGATTGAAGGAGAGACGTGAGGTTGTATAACCTCAACGTTGCTGTAGTATCGCTGAGGAGCTCCGCTGTGCCAACCTCGAGTTGTTACTGAGACGAAGACACAGGATGAAGCTTCTGTAGGAGCATAGCCCTGACGCTACGAAGAAGTCTTCTGTCAGATACGAGAGTGATGC